CCTGCATTTCCTCATCAAAAGAGGGTCCTCGGTATACACCGACATAAAGAAGTAAGACGAGAGGTTTATCTTATCTGAGTTATCGGTTAACATTTTCCCCTTGTTGTCTTTCACACAGAGAATGGGGTCCGGATTGCGTTTTGACTAATTCACGTAGGCAAAGGCTATTTTTGAGTTTTTTTAGGTATTCCTTTGACTAGTTGTGACTCAAATTCGAATCGTTCTTTACGCAGGATATTTCAAGATTTCGCTGTTTCCTAAAGGCGCATGGATGTTAAGTTGATTGATATTTGGCCTGTGTTTTCCACAGTCTTCTTTTCTTCCTCGGCTCCCTATTTAAGTCAGCTGTCGCCAATTTCGGTCAGAAGAAGCGCGAGATTATCTTAAACGGACAACCACTTCCTATCAAGTTCTTGGTCAAGTTCCTAAGGAAGCACCATGCAGCACTTGCGTTAGGTACCTGTGCAAGTATCCAGTCAATCTCGTTTAGCAGTCCTTTCATTTTGGCGTACCCCCTTTCCATAAGTTCTTTGCCGTTACTGCTCGAATTAAGGGGTACAGAAAATGGCTGTAATAGCGAAAAAGAACGCAATAAACACTTCGGCCCAAGGGGGTCCGCGAATTCCATCTACGGATGCAGTTTTCATCTTTACTAATGATATGACACGAACGGCTCTACTGTAAGTCATTGTGGAACCTCGTGTCCATTGTGAGGTGTTGAGTAAGGAAGTCGTCAGTTAAAATGATTTTTCGGATCGCAAACTGATGTTTCCAAACACAGACTGGCCTCACATCAGCTGGGGGGATAGAGCATATCACATTTCTCTATTTTAAAGATACTCGTGCCAGATAATACAACATTACGTGGAGAAGAACGATTAATTTGACACAGTATCTACAAATCATATCATTCGCTCAGCGATAATTTTCGCTACGGCTAACACATTAAAAAGGCATACCCATCAACGAGACTTTCAAATGTTTGTAGTAAAGCTTATCTGCCTATAAAGCTTTTTTATTACTACTGAAAATCTCAGTGCTTAGGCTGAGTCGCGTGCGTTTATTGCTTTCGGAAGAACGCTTCAAAATATACCTCTGCCTGCGTAACTCTGGAGTACTGACCTACCTTGAATTTCGAAAGCTGAATAGACACGCAAAAGTGCGATCTGGGCTTGGCAAAAGGTGACATTCACGATGTCCCGTGCCCTTCAATATAATGATAAAATGGACATTACGGATAAGTTCCAACAACTTATCGTGAGCAAGCCATTTCCTACGTTTGAAAATTTTAAACAGACTCTTAAATTGTTTACAGAGGTTTGTTTTATGCTCACAGATGTGGACCGTTGTAGTTAACTGGAAGCCAATTTACAATAAAAAGACGAATGCGACACAAAACAAACGCACCGATGAGAGACACGCATATTTTTCGTTACGTTACTTATGCATGCATTTGCACGTTTTC